GAAACAGTGTTGAGTGGGCACAAAGTCACAGAACTAAGGAAGAAAAGCTGGGGGACTCCTACCCTGAGGGTGACTATAGTTAAGTGTGGCATAAGATTGCCACAGAGGATTGTCCATATTCCCACCACGATAAATGATACATATTTGAGAGGACCAATAACCTCAATGTTCTGAGTTGATTATTATATAATCAATACATGTACCAAATATCACACTGTACTCTGTCAATGTTTTTTATTTATTTATTTTTTGTATTTTAGGGAAGGGTCTAAAGGGTGTTCAAGGTCTCATTACTAGATTGGATTCCTAGTGATCCGCCAGTTTACAGCCTCCCAAGAGCTGGGATTACAGGTGCGTGCCACCACGCCCAGTCTCAATTGCTGGTCTCAGCACACCCCAGAGGCAGGGCCAGCCCAGCAGGTGGGGCATGGAACCCCGACCCTAAACCCGCTTGCAGAGGCTTTAATCCACTGAGCTGTTTGGCCAGCTTTTCCGTCAGTGTTTTTTAAAACATATAAGAACTGTCATTGACTATTCTGGGCCACATCCACTGTTTTTTGTTAGAGTCTGGGGTGCTGCATTGTCAACAAAAATCTGATCACGGAGTTGATTCCTCCCCTTGGGTTCAGTGAAAACCCACAGTGAACAGCTCTGCCTGCCCCAGCAGGCTGAGTTCCAGGTTGTTATTCTTTGTGTTTTCACTCAAAGCCCTCATTCTTGTGATAGCTTCGGAGTCTCCATAATGAGAGATTTGTTATGGAAATCGAATTTCCAGATTACACTTTTCTAGCAAGGCTTTCTTCCTTGAAATCCAGGAGGTTCCTCTACCTGTAAATGGATCATAGCTGATGTGGATGTGAATATATACATCAGACTCAGCTGGGAGCCCTCTGAGGGGCAGGGTCCCGCACGTGACAGTATTCCGCCCTCTTAGGGCTCCTGGCACTAAGTTCCTGAGGGTTCAGACTGACCAGGGTCCCCAAGAAGCCAGAAGGAAAGGAAGAGTGACGGCCTATGGTTTAAGGACTAATAGAAGACTTCTTAAACCTTGTGCTGGTCCACAGAATATGCCTATTCTGGCCATTAAGTACTTCTGTGAGTGGGGATGCAGATTATTCTCCAATTTCAAAACTAAAATTGAGACAACACATCTCACATTCCAATAGAGCCAAAGTTCAAATGTTGCTCTTTCCCATCCCCTGAAGGCTA